TCTCTTTCGTTTGGCCGTCCTCGGTTTCGTCCATCGATTCGAAGCTGGCATGGCTATTGTTAGTTGATTCGGCTAGAGATGACGGGACTTTCACCTCACATTCTCCTTGCAAGCAGACTCGACGAACAACCTCGCCGTGTACGAAAATACGGCTCTAGCAAGACGACACATCTGCTCCTCCCGGTGTCTTCGGATTTTTAGGCTCGAAAGACGCTAAACGCCATCAGAGGACAACGATGGTCACACCAATGGACGCCAGGGATCCAAGCCGGTAGGCTGACCCTGTGGACACCGCTATGAGCTCCTTTGGGCCTTGCATAGGGTAGGCATACCAACGCATGATCTGATGAACCCAGTCGACTGGGCGAAATTCGAGGCAGCGACTCGTCGATGCCACCAGTAGTCATGTGGAAACACAGAGCCAACCATGGTTTCGGTGTAGGGAAGTTCGAGCAGACAAGATATTTGCTCGCTTCACATTCGAGTCATGGGAATCTGAGGGTTCCTTCCTATGGTGAGATCCGAGTCAGCAAGCGTTGATCCAGTTGGACAAGGTGTTGTACTTTACGCAGTTCATGAAGAATCCGACTGTATGCTTGAGACCGATGGTCAATTAGGATCGTCATCATACCAGCTTATCAACTAGACCACTGCCAATTCTCTTCGGCAATGCAGGCACCAATATGCCATGTTGACATGATGTTGTATCCAGGTTCGTCGCACTCTCCGGCTGTCGCTTCGAGAAGCCGCGCTGGATGCGCCGGCAAGTTCACAAGACGGCAAAGGCACGTGACGAACTCACGTGTGACAAGAAATTGTACAGTTGCATTGGGAGACCGCTTCGCGTAGACGGCGAGATGTTGAGGCACTCCGCTCTTCATGGTGTGAAGGCGGTGAGGAGGGGAAAGACGCGATGGCGGGTCGGGCCCCCTGGTCTTATCTGACTCGGCGGGAATAGGTTACTCGCCACAAGAATTGTCGCGGTCCGCGATGGGCTGCTCCTAGAACGGCATAGAGATGTCAGTGGTGTTTCGTGTCTGCGGCACAAATTTGGCACAAATCATCGGACCCGGCGCAGCAAGAGGCGCGATATTCTACTCACCTCATCGTGGACAACGAACGTCTGGCGCGCTTGTGTCCTGTTGTTGGCCCGCGGTCCTGGTTTGCAGAATTTCAGGACATGTTGCATGGGTTGAATTGACGGCCAGAAATAGCGTGTAAGCCGTGACTTTGCGCGGAGCACTGACAGTGCTGGGTCCAGCTCACTTTGGTGCGCTGTCAAGGGTCTCCTGTCCATCATTAGCTTGTCGATCGGCGAGACAATGCAGGACTCACATATTCTGAAACAAGACACGGGAAAGGGCTCCGTGGCTTTGCGCGTGCATTGGATGGAATGCAAGGATATGGTTGTTTCGCATCGTCTTTGAAGTCAGTCCAGTCTCGGAAAGGGTCGCGCTGAAATCTACATACCTGTATAGAAATTCCTCTTTTGCATCGATATATTCAGGGGCGGGACAGTGGTCCGCTGCTATGGTGGACAGATATTCGCATACTTTGGCCAGCTAACCCAAATCTGCTTCTTTGATCGGCTGGTATAGGTGGCATATTGGATCTGGTGGGAATCACTTTCTCACAAGCCCTTTCTAGCTTGTCGGCCCACGACGTATCCATAGGTGTCAGTATGGTGGAAATTCCAGTAGGTCTGAAAGGAAGAACTTATCAGGTTCTCAAACCGAAGGCCTGCTCGACTCTGCATAGCCAAGTGATAGTAATGGAAAACGAATTGCTGGGAAAAGAGGACGTACTTATAGGTTTCTCAGCTCCTGTCGCGTATGTGCTCTGCTATGGAGCAAACGTTGAAGGACAGGACGCCTATCCTAAGTGAGGTCTGTTGCAACCCATGCCTTCGTTCTTACGCAACTATTTGCAACGAAAATTCTGGTGTCATTTTAGATGCCCAGTGAGAAAAATGTACTAAAGTCATGTTGAAAATGAGTCAAAGTGAGTCGGTTAAGAAACGTTGGCTCACTGTCGAATCTATGGTCTTAATATTGAGGCAATGGAAGCTGTTCATTCTTTGATTTTACCAAGAGCGCTCACATTTTCATCTAAAAATCGTGGAAATTTTCTGGCCTTGCTCGAGTGTTGATTGTCTGAGCTGTGTGTGGTTCTGTCCGTCTAGGCTGCGGAAAGTGTCAGGCCGTGGTCGCGCGGGCGCGGGTACTCAACCCGTCTACCCGTTGAACTTGGATGTCCTCGTTGACTTGAGTCAACTTTTGAACTTGTGACCAGCGTTGAAATAGATACTTTTTTTTTCTACGTTTATTTTTCAGTCCTGTAGATTTTACTCTATCTGATTTTGTGATTTCTGAGGCTTCAAACGAATGTGGAAAATGCGTTGTGATTGAATATATATCTCCTGGACCGTTCATCACCAGTGAGCCACTAAGATGAGGCACATTCACAAACCATCAACACCACGAGATTGATCACCAGCACCATCATTAAACGGACTGCTAACAGAGTGCTGAGATTGAAAAGCTGACTACGCTGATTGACTTTCATGGTGAAAATGAGACTGAGTACCTAGCGCTATGTCTGCTAGTCTATAAAAGCCTCCAAGAATTGATGGACATGCTATTGCCCAGATACTCGACTTTCACTACGATCAAGATGGATGCCCCTAACAGCACGCCAGACCAGGACAAAGAAGGAGAACAACAGACCACTGTGTTGCCAATTGCTTGTGAAAAAGACAATTCGCAGGAAGCTTCTGATCATGTCCCACCACAGGTAAGTAAAGCGGCTCAGCTTCCAACGCTGTTGCTGACCATCGCAGCTCTCTCTTTCGCCACAGGAAGCAGAAACAAGACATACCTTGGCGTCCGAGCCATTTCAACCTATTCTGAAGGTGCTAGCAGACCTCGAACGCGACGATCCCAAGTTCGCCTTTCCAGCAGGTCGAATTGTCGGACTCTATCGACGCCTATGGGAGTCGTGCGTGTCCAAACACGTCGATGGCCAGAACCTAGAGCAGAGCAATCAGATCTTGAAGGAGGCTAGCACACACCTGACTAAAGAGAGGGATGGACTTCAGCTGCGCCACGACAAGCAGCTGTCTCGGCTGCGCTTCTTTGAGCAGGCACTGGAATCATCTCGGGGTCGACTGACTTGCGTACTTGATGATTGGAACCACCCGTCCAGACTCAATCTACATGTACCAGGGTTCTTGGACAACGCAAGAGAAGGGTGAAGGGTTGCATATTTATGATTACTTTTCCAACTTGGCAATAATATGACAACATTGTAATTGAGAGAGAATTACCGCATGGAAAGCAACTTACATCTGGAATAGCGTAGCCTTCGTGGAATGTTCTGCGAATAATCCCGCATGTTCTAGTATCGCTTTTATTACTCCAATATATTATAAACAAAAAACTACGGATCCAGTGACAATGTCGGCAGTGTAGCTAGCGGAGAAAGTGTCGATTAACTCGGCCGTCCCGCATTGCATCACGACAGCTACCCGAAGTAGATGTCGCCAGCTCTTACAGACCACCAAACCTTCTCCCCGGAGACCGCTTCAATAATATTTGTGGATTGTTGGCGTCTTCCATTCTGCTTCGAATGGCCCGCTGGATGCAATCGTTCCTTGTTAGATCCAGGGATTTTGTCAAACTGAAGTATTTCAGTCTGGGATTGACCACGAGTGCATCAACAATCGAGGAATGCCCGCCCTTGACCGCCAACATCAATGGATTCTCAGAACATTGATTCCTGAGGTTCACATCAATCCGATCATGGCTTAGTAGTGCCAGGACCATCTCCAAGTCACCACCACCGGCGGCAATGCAGAGAGCAGTGTCGTGAGTTGCGATCGTGCTTTCATTGATGTTCAGACGTGCGCCTTGCTGCACTAAGAGCCTTACCACATCGAGATGGCCATGTGCAACCGCTCGACAAATGGGCGGGTCTATTACATCCCTTCCGTTAATCTCCAAGCCCTCCATACTCAGTAGACAAGCAACCGTGTTCACGCGTCCGTGATATGCGGCCACGGAGATTGGAGAGTGGCCTCCAACACAGATATTCAGACTGATCCCTGGCACCGCAAGCAGCCGTTGTAGGAGCACGGTATCCAACCTGATCGCGGCGTGGTGTAGAGATGTAGACGGCGTTTCAAATCTTCCGCAGCCTCCAACAAAATTAACGTTGATGTCTTTCTCGGCCAACAGCCTGTCGGTTATATCGTCACATGACGAGTAAGTAGAGAGCCAAAGTGGCGTATTGCCATCTTTGTCTTTGCAGTTCACGTTGGCACGGGGGTGACATAGGAGCAAATTGACCATTTCCAAGCGTTTGTTTTGAATGGCGAGATGGAGCGCCGTAGATCCTTTTCGGTTCTGGATGTCCAAATCCAGATTTTTTTGCCTGAGAAGTCTTTTGACAGCCTCTACTGACCCATAGGCCACTGCTTGGTGAAGAGGTAGCTCAGCCTCTTGTGATGATTTGGTACCAAGAAACACCTTGGCCATCGGATCGTTTGAAAAAATCATTTCCATCACGGGTCTATTGAACCGCCATGCCCAGTCCCATGGCGAGTGGCCAGAATCGTCCTGTAGAACAGGGTCGCTGCCACTAGAAAGTAGCAGATGCACGAACTCTATTCTGCCTGCGAAGACTGCTAGGTGGAGCGCCGTCCGGCCGTGTTTGTGCTTGACGTCCACCTGGACGTTGGGTTGTTCTAGAACGCGCTTGAGGGTGGAAAAAGTTCCGTAGTGGATGGCATACCACAGGGCGCTCTCCCGCGCTTGATTTTGAATGTTGATGTCTAGGTCTCGATGATTGAGCAAGAGTTCGCGCACACCAGGGGAAAAGTATTTCAGCGCCCGCATTAAAGGAGTTTTGCCTCGGTAAAATGCATTGATGTTGGCGTTGTGCTGGAGCAAAGCCTCCGCAAGACCAACGTTGTCGTATTTGACGGCCAAGTGCAACAGATTGCTGTTCTGAAATTTGATGTTGTATTTCCAGATGCTGGGCTGCAGTTTAAAATCAAAGTCTTTGCATGATTTTGTGAGGGCAAATAATGCACTACCGTCCAAATACGACACAATCCACAGCAAAAGCTCGTTGGGCAGGTCTCTGATGTTTGGCTGTAATGTATTAG